ATGAGGCAATTAATTTGGGCAGAGCACCCCATAATACAGCTGTAGAATCCAGAGATAAGTCTGAGTGAGCTCTGACCTATTTGTTCCCAAGTGGATATGCATGGTCTCATGCTTCCTACACCTCCTGCAGCCATTATTATATATATTTATGTGCACAGATGTTGCACAATCAAATGGAACTTGACAATAGCTTACACGTAGGCACACACAGTCTTGAGATGCAGAAAAAAACAGCTAAATAATATGTGCCTCAAGAAAAAAGGAACCATATTGTTTTAAATGCAAGCACAGGAAGAATGTACCTTTCCCCAAAATGCAGTGCATTTGGAGAACTGTAGTAGTTATCACAACAAAAAGTGTGATACCGGGGGGGAGAAATAAACACAGAAAAACAGGAAGATGACCTTTGATCAGAAAACTGTAGTTTAGGAAAAGAATACAAAGAAAGGACAGTAATACTCGTGAGTTGCTTCTGTAGGAGTTATTGATTTCTTTCTTTTAATCATTCTTTTAATGATTCTTCCACCATTCGTCTTCACCACACGTTAACAATAGTCACTTACGTTTGCAGACCTCTGTAGAAGACATGGGTTTCCCTCTATCTCGGTAATACCCCGGTTTGCACCTTTGACACCGATGTCCCTCTGTGTTATGCTTGCAGTTGTCACAGACTCCACCACTGCGCTTTCCTGATGCCAGCCAAACACTCAGATCAAAATGGCAGCTATCAGCATGGTTGTGACAGCGACACTCTGGTGGGAAACGGGAGAATATATTTCAGGCTTATATAATAGACACAGCAATACTATTCAAATGGTATCATTTTCCTACTGTGAATCATGGAGGAAATACCTGAATGTAACACATTTCATCTGCCTGAAATCCTTGATTTTCATAAAAACTAGATATTGCAACAAAGAGTGAGAGTCCCAGCAGGGTCTGAGAAGCTTGGGAGGTTGTGAGCTGTGTGGTATTCTTACAGTAGGACAAACCAATTTGATGGTATCGTAAGCCCTGCACAAAACCCTGGAACGCTAAAACACATGAGGGGACGTAGCTGCATGAAGAACAGGTTTCTGACTTGTAAATTCCACTTCCCAATAGCCCAAATGGATCAGCTGCAGTAAAACAGCATGCATACTGAAGTTTTGCATCAATGACCAGCAACTTATCCCCAGTTTCTGTAATGGCACCACTAGTGTAAATCGACAGAAGTCTTTGTTAGGGAACTTTGCCTGCTGGCATGGTGTGTGCTCATCCTGAAAGCCTGGATCAGTAAACTCCCTCCCACTTACTTCTGCATTCATTTGGCGCCCCTGTTTTTCCATCTCCTGGCTTCCAAGGCTGATCGTTGTATAGTGGTGCACATTTCTCACAGTGGTCCCCTGCTGTGTTGTGTCTACACACACACTTCCCGTGGACCTGTCAGGGGAAAGAGAATACATTCAAATATCTACAAGCAAGAACATGGTGGAGTGCCCAACAGCCTCACGAGGAGGTGGGACTTCTCCTGCACAACTCCCACACAGCTGCCTGGCTCTCTTAGGAAACCCACAGAGCCTGGAGCTTAAATGTGTAGCTTTACCTCTTCACACAGTCACCAACGATGTAGATTTTTCCTCTATCTTCCAGTTTAAATGCATGTGGCAACAATTTCTTTTTAACTCTCCAGTTGGCTATTTTACTACTACATTGATGAACAGCCTCTAGAGTATTTAAATTGGGTAACCTAACACAGCTTATTTTGATTTACAAGTTCAGGGCAAGAGCGTGCAAAGAGCCTGAGCAGGCAGTCACCTTCAGCCAGTGTCAAACGTGCTCTTGGCTAGCAGAGTTGAGTCACAGGAGAGCACAGTCTAACAGAGGATGCTAACAGAGGATTTCCTGTTAGTTTCCTAACAGTGGTCTGGAAGAGAGAGTAAATATAGGACAATGAAATCACCATGAATTACTAAATTACAAATTGTTAGAAGAATGAGCAAGTAGTCCTGGACCTCCTGGCACAGTTAAAAATGTAGCAAAAATATTAAACCTGGAAAAATACCAACCAGTATACCCACAGAAGAACAATCCAAACCACACATTCTGTGAGAGGAAAGCACTGATGTTTGAAGAGACTTAGGTACAGTAGGCACCAACCTACCAACTTACATATGAATATATATCTATAATAGGTTAGCAGAAAAGGCCCAGTAAAATTTTGGGCTGTGTAACTAAGAGCACTGTAACCCCAAGTGGATAGGAAATTGTACCTGCAACGCTGTGTTAGTTTTGAACATCTTATTACCAGATAAATGAGAAATTGGAAGATGTTCAACAAAAATGAGCAAAAGCTGGCATGGCTAAAGAATGCAGCTGATCTACAAGCACTAAGCATATAAACCCACCTAAGCTAGGAAAGTACAGTTTACAAAGTATTTGAGGGGGAAACAAAGAAAGAAGCGCAAAAAGTCTTGATTAAAACTGGCTGAATTAGTAGAGTTCTCTCTGTGACTATTTGCTTGAAAAATTACTTGAAAAAAGAACTTGCTTCCTCTCTAGTTATCTGCCTTCATTGGAACACAGTAATGATTTTTTAATCATGAAAATATTCTAATATATGTCAGTTTTGGAATCAGGTATTCACACCAGAAACCTGACCTTGGAAACTGAGCTAGTCCAGCCTTCAAACAGAAGGTTACTATTGAGACTGCTTCTGTTCTCAAGTCATTTCACGCACCAGGAATATAATAGCCAGTTCCACCATAGGCTGTGATTTGGTGCACAAGATTCTGTAATATCAAGCCACATCCAAGAAGCGCATTACAGGAAGGTTTTTATGTTGTGGGTTTTGGTTGTTTTTTTTTTGTTTTTTTTTAATTAAGAAATAGGATTCCAATATCTGTTTGCAATGCCTCAGAGAGAGGATTTCCTAGAGAAATTATTCAAGAAAATATCCAGCATAGGGAGTGGGAGAAAGGGAAAGGTGGTACCATACGTCATGTTCTACACTCATCACAAGAGAAGATGCGGTATTTCACACGCAAGGAGACACTTGTACTAGAGCAGGAAACGCACAGAAATCAGGGACTAGACCCCTCTCCCTCTGTGTGCTGTTGAGGATGCTAAGCTCTGTAACCACTGTCACAGCTCTGGCCCACTGCACGTTACACAAAAAGCAGAGGCTGAAATTTCATTTTGAATGGGGTGTGAATTGAATCTAATCCTTTAATCTCACCACTAATGTGAGTTATGTTTCTCCACAGTCTTTCCTGAAAGTCAGACTCTCCCTTTGCAGTCTCCCCTTCCCCCATCTCGCATAGCAGGTAGCTTGGGATCAAGAGAGAAATGTTAAAAAGAGCAGTTGCGTGAATACACTCCCCTGCCCCCAAACTCATCTCCCTGCAGCAATTTGCTCTCCGCTCCCCTGGTTTCTAATCCTCCCAGACCAGATATGTCATGTAGCTAGCAAAGGGGATAGGCTGCAGCTGATGCCATCGCCCCTCTATGGCCAGCTGGCAGATTTGCTGCTGCACAGAGCGGTTGGCTGCCTCCTCACGGAAGACTGAGCACAGACTTCAGGGTACGCATTTTTGTCAGAGCTCAGCACCAGTAAACCTCAGGAGGATACAGCATGTAGCACATTATGTGATGCCTCTCCAGACCTTTGTACAAGACAGGCATCTACGTTCGAAGTGCTAAATAGGATCACAAATTTCAGAGACAAAGACAAAAATACTGATAAGCAACAGTTTCAGGCTTCTCTCTGTTTGGGTTTGGCTCTTCAGGCTTATGAGTTCCCCCCTGTGGACACTATGACTGCTTTTCAGAAGCCATAGAACAGAGAAAAGGACCAGGAGTGACCCAGGACCCAGAACCATAGATTTTAATGTCCCCAAACTTCAGACTCTATCTAACTTTACAGCTCATTCCAAAATGGATCAGAACGAAAATCTTGGATTCAGTCACTTCTTTGGAAAATGCTAGTGTATTTCAATGCAAAATTTGTAAGTTGGCCCATTGAGTTTTTTAGAGATATATACACAAACTGTGCATTCACTATATAAGAAAACTACATGAAAGAAGTGCTGAGATTGTATAGTTGGGAAATGCCAGAATTAAACCATGCAATCTTGTTTTAGCCTTGAATGACATGATCAAATATTCATTATTCCACAGGACCCTGTGCTTACAGTGCACAGCACAGATGGTGTGAACACTCATGAACAATTATTCAGAAAGTAAACAGGAAAATTCAGTGAGAAAGAAAGAGTCCGGTTGTTCCTTGGAGGTAACTAGATGTGTTAGTTTGCTCATTGCCCACTGGTTTGTTGCAAACTGTAGTTTGTGGAGGCTATCTAGGAATGGCACGTTGTGAGTAGGACAGAAGCATAAAGGATGCTTCCTGCCTGTGATCCCTGCTATTGAACAGTTTACCAAATATATGTAGAAGGGTGACTGGCTTAGACAAAAGGGCTGAAAAGCCAAGCAGCCAGGAGAGCCACTGAGCAGGCAGAAGTAAACAGCGGAGCTGGCATGGAACTTTTTTAGGAAGTGTTAGGTCTGAAAAGTAACCTTTTTTGTATAGGTTTAACAACAAGGAAAAGAGAATTGATGGTATTGGGGCAAAGGTAAAGGATAATGAAGAGAAGGCAATTCTGCCATGTGTTACCTGTGGATGGAATCTCATGGAAGATTTTTTTCCATGGAGAGTAATCTCACAGACAGCATTCATAGGTGAAAACAGCTAAGAAGGAGAGTGCAACATGAGGGGACACTGAAGTATGGAAAGGAGTTGGACATGAGAGCAGAGACACAGTTCAGGTAGAGCACAGACAAGAAAGGTGATTCATGGATGTAAGCAGCCACTGCAGAAAGACCAGTTAATGCAGGAGAAACTGAGCTGTGGAAGAGACACGTTACACTTAAGCGTGAGGTGAAATAAGGGTAGGTGAGGTGGCTCTAAATAACAAGAGACAAACAATTTGTTCTGTTAGAGAGGAAGAGGTAGGAGAGGCAGCCAGAGACCAAAGTCCAGGAAGGAATAAGAATGAGATACAGGAAGCTGTCAGATAAAATAGGAAGTGGAATATCTGCTTAGGAAAGGGAGAATGAGAGAGTCACACTCAACATGAGGAGTGCAGGCACGTCCCTGACTTGTTATTCCCTGCTGAAGTAAGTCCACATCTCTCTCACAAAAGTGGGTCCAAAAAACCAGAAGATTGTGCCCTCTACCAGATGCAAGATCTCAGGATGCACTAGATCTCACTAAGATGATCACACCAAGGTAGAGAAAAATAGTCAGAGAAGTACAGATTCAGGGGAACTACACTGATATTTTTCTATGCCCTAGAAAACAGGGTGGAGTTGCAAGGAGATAATGATGATTAAGGAGATGATTATCAGGGAGCAGCAAGGACCAGTTGCTCTCTAAAGGTTGTAGAGCTATAAGCTGAGGGTTACCACAGCACAGGCTGTGCCCTTACTGAGGGGGCACCATCCTGAGCACAGTGAGCTGGTACCACAGTCCATCAACAGCCCCAGACGCAACAAGGGGATGGACTAGGGGCAATTCAGGAGCAGCAAGAGGCAGGCCCAGAAACAAGCCCACAACATGGGTTCAAAGTCCATCCAGGACGCAGAATGAGAGACAAGCTACAACACATGTGAGGGCATCCACGAGGAGGGAAGCTACCTACAGCATAGGCCCAAGGTCCATCCAGGAGGCAGGGCCAGAGGCAGGGCCAGAGGCAGACACATCTACAGCATAGCTCAAACAGGGATTAACAGCCCAGGGCTGAGCTTAAATGGAGCACCCAGGCCAATGGACAGAGAGCTTGGGTAGGAGTCCCAGGTGGGGCTGGTCAGGGCCGTTAAAGTCCTTTTAGTGCCTTCAGGACCCTGATAATAGTTCTTTGATTGCCACTGGATTAATGTCATTGGGAGCTTTAGGATATCCAACTACTAGGAGGCATCTGAGGAAAAAATATTTCAGCTTTCTAGATTTGGAGCTGGCAATCCAGGTGGAGGGAGCTTGAAAGTAATATGTGAGGAACAGAGGCTATATGAGATTCATGTCATCAATTAGGAAACCTATCCAATTTTCAGCTAAAGCCCGATTAGTTTGTGACAGGGATTTATATGAATACATATAAATGTATTAGAATCATAGAATCATAGAATCATGATCATCATGAATCATGAATCATGATTCATGTATTGATACAGCAGGAGAAAGATTGAGATCCAGGAGATTTCTGTCTCGCATCTCTCATATTTCACTTTATCCTCAATGTTCAATATGTGACACTGCATCACTTGACATACACTGATCCTTAGATACAGAAGTATTTAGTCCTGTATGGGCTTTTCCACGGTGCTCATTGCTGCAATAATTGAGTACTTCAGAAATATTAAGGAATTTATTTTTATGACACCTACCT